TCCCGATGGAGAAAGGGGAAGGAGAAGGAACGGGAGGGAGAGCGTGAAGCCAGGGAGTCACCGCTGGGGACCCAGGTTACCCCCTTTCGTTTTGGGTTTGGTCTCTCAAAACATCCCTGGAAGCTCCCGGGCCCAATCCATACAACCCTGGCTTGTTTAACCCAGTCTACTGAAAGGCTAATAGGAGCTGCGGTGGCTCAAGTTGTTAAGACGCTGAACTGCAGGCTGTGGAAGGTCGGTAGTTCAGCAGTTCGAGACCCGAGTGTGCCGCATGACGGAGTGAGCTCCCGTCTCTAGTTCCAGCTCCTGCCAACCTAGCAATTCGAAAGCAAGAAACTGCAAGTAGATAAATAGATACCACTTCGGTGGGAAGGTAACAGCGTTCCGTGCACCTTGGCGTCTAGTCATGCCGGCCACATGACCATGGGAACGTCTTTAGACAGCGCTTGCTCTTCGGCTTGGCAACGGGGATGAGCACCGCAACCCTAGAGTTGGATTCGATTGGCTTTCGAGGAAGGGAAACCTTGACCTAATGAAAAACAACCACTTATTCCTTCATAGAAAAAAATACAAAGGTTAATAAAATTACACATGGCAGCCTGCTCCAGACTCTCTCAATCAATGTCCTTCTAACAGTCTCGTATTCTCAAAAAGCAGTCTGCTCCAAATTCAGTCTTTCTTTCAACACTTATTCCGGATATTTAAGTGTTTCAGACCTCTGGTCTTTCCTCAGAAACAAATCTATAAACCGAGAATTCCAGTGACATTACATTGGAATTACATTATATTGCATTGGTTTCTCAGTCTCTAGGAAATAAAGTGAGTATAAAAGTTGATAAGTGACTCCCATCTTACCCTATATGGGAATCTCACATTCAATGGTACCTTCAAGTTGACACATCCATTGATAAAGTGATGTTCCCTAATACGTCACTGCAGTTTCCATCCCTCTTTCAAGCAAACAACACGTAAATTTTAAGAACATAACATAGGAACATAAGAGACGCCAATGTTGGATCAGGCCAAAGGCCCATCTAGTCCAACACTCTGTCACACAGGGGCCAAAAATACCAGGTGCCATCAGGAGGTCCACCAGTGGGGCCAGGACACTAGAAGCCCCCTCCCACTGTTGCCCCCCCCCCAAGCACCAAGAAGACAGAGCATCACTTGCCCCAGAGCCCCTGTCTATACCTTGTGGCTAATAGCCACTGATGGACCTCTGCTCCATAGGCTTATCTAATTCCCTTTTGAAGCCGTCCATGCTTGTAGCCGCCACCACTTCCTGTGGCAGTGAATTCCATGTGTGAATCACTCTTTGGGTGAAGAAGTACTTCCTTTTATCTGTTCTAACCCGACCGCTCAACAATTTCATGGAGTGCCCACGAGGAGTTCTTGTATAGTGAAAAAGGGAGAAAAGGACTTCTTTCTCTACCTGCTCTTTCCCATGCGTAATCTTATAAACCTCGATCATGTCACCCCTCAGTCGTCTTTTCTCTAAGCTAAAGAGCCCTAAGCACCTTAACCTTTCCTCATAGGGAAAGTGTTCCAACCCTTTTATCATTCGAGTTGCCCTTTTCTGCACTTTTTCCAAAGCTATATCCTTTTTAAGGTGTGGTGACCAGAACTGCACAGAGTATTCCAAATGAGGGTTGCACCATTGATTTATATAGGGGCATGATATTGGCATTATGATAAGGCGTTGGTCTTGAGCAGAGGGAGGGGGTTCCCGGAAGCTTTTCCCAAGCTTCCTCACGAGCAAGGCGCACGGAAGAGAAGCCAATGTCGTTTTCTGCGAAATTCCTGAGCCGGATTTTTACAGACAGTTGCTCTGCCTTTGAAGGGACCCTGGAGAGTTTTTATTGGCCAAGTTGTGAACGGGGTGGGGCAGCTTTTATCCGAGGTCTGGTTCGGCCCATCCTCAACCCCCCCCCTCCCACTTTCTGTCTAGGGGAAGAAGAAGACGGCGATGAAGATGACGAAGCGGAGGGCGCCACAGGCAAGCGGGCAGCTGAGGACGACGAGGTAAGGGGCCGGCCTTTGTGGAGGCGGGTTGGGGAAGGCCAAGGATCCCGGTTTGGAATAGTGGTTAATCTGGGAGAACCGGGTTTGATTCCCCACTCCTCCACTTGCAGCTGCTGGTGTGACCTTGGGTCAGTCACAAGTTCTCTCAGCTGTTCTCTCAAGGGTAGTTCTTGAGAGAGCTCCCACAGCCCCGCCTACCTCACAGGATGTCTTTTGTGGGGAGGGGAAGGACATGGTAAGCCACTCTGAGACTCCCTTGGGTAGTGAAGGGCAGGGTATAACTCCAGTCTCTTCTTAGTCTTGTCGTGCCTGTGCTCACCACCACTTACATACACACAAAATTAGCTCTCAGGGAGGGCCAGGGCCAGTCAGAAAATGGCTGCCACGGGGTACTGGGGCGAATCGCAGAATGTTGAGAAAAGCTGGCGACGAGCTCAGTTTCTGGGTTCTGCTCCAATGAGGAGGAGGGAAGCCAGGGTGGGCTTTGGGGAAGAAATTGATGGGCCCTCGGAAAGCCAGTGGTGGGCACCGCGTTGGGGGTCACCAATCTGGACAAATCCCAGCTTCTTTTCCTCCAGGCCTCTTTGCATGGAGGAATTATTTTGTCTGTGGTTCCTCAGTGTACTAGCTGGAGTTGATTGGCGACCGGGGCCAGAGAGGCGGTTCTGTGGTGGGGAAGCAGGGCACGTTCCCTTGCTTGGGGTGTCTCTCGGACAGCCTTTCCCCAAGATCCATGATTCAGTGTCGGAGCTGTGAACGGTTCCCCGAGTCCCCTGGACAAACTACATTTCCCAGGATTCTTTGGGAGGTGGGGCGGAGTGACGGCTGTTTTATCCTTTTCTTCCAAGGAAACGTAGGTCGGGGTGCCGCCTCTGAGTTGGTAAATAGCTGGAGACTTGGGGGGGGTGGAGCTTGGGGAAGGAGGGATGTGAGAAAGGGGAGGGGCTTCATTCGCAGCGTTCCCTCTAAGCTGAGTGAGCGTGAGCTAGCTCACAGTTTTTTTTTAGACTCCGGCTCACATTTTTTTTTTCTCAGCTCAGGAAGGGACGTCTCCAGAGCAAGCTGATTTATGCAGCAGCTCAATCGCTCGCTCGCCACTTTAATGCCAGCAGCTGACAAAGTAGAGTTTGTGTTCACGAGACTCCACAGCTTAGAGGGAGCATTGCTTCGTTGGTAGTCCTTCCTGAAAGGGAGCTGTTTTCTCCAAGGGGGGGACTGATCTCTGTCGTCTGGGGATCAGTTGTAATACCGGGAGATCTCCAGACAGCGCCTTGGGGCTGGCGACTCTCAGTCCAGGGCAGTGCATATTCTCCCCCCCCCTCCATTTTATTCTCACAACGTCCCTGCGAGATAAGTGAGGCAGAGAGTGATTGAGCCCATGGTCGCGTGGGGACTTGAAGCCAGGCCTCTGTGTCCTTAGTCCAGCGCTCTGACCCTTACACCACACCGCCTTTTAAAAAGTTAAAGCCATTGTCCTGACTTGGATAGCCCAGGGAAGCCAGATCTCGGAAGCTAAGCAGGGTCGACTTCGGCAAGTATTTGGATGGGAGACCTCCTTGGAATACCAGCAGTCGGGAGGCGGGGGCAGGCTTCACTCAGCCACCTCTCTGAATATCCTCCAGGCCCCGAGTAGGGGTCAGTCACCAGAAGACGCCATGACTCCCAGGTTCATTCACACGCGCACACATGCACCAATGCTCCCTCTAAGCTGTAGAGTCTGGTGAGCAAAAATTCTCCTTTGTGAGCTCCTGGCATTAAAGTTGTGAGCGAGCAATTTGGCTGCTGCATAAATTAGTTTGCTCTGGAGCCACATCTTTCCTGAGCTAAGGCAAAAATCTGTGAGCTGGAGGCTAAAAACCTGTGAGCTCGCTCACACTAACTCAGCTTAGAGGGAACACTGACATGCACATATTAAAAATACCCAAAAAAAGTTAAAGCTGGTATGAACTCTGTACAGAAGAGGAGATTGGATTTATACCCAGCCGTTCACTCAGAGTCTCAGAGCGGCTTACCATCTCCTTTCCCTTCCCCTCCCCCACAACAGACACCCTGTGAGGTAGGTGGGGCCGAGAGAGCTCTTTCGAGGACTGCTCCTGAGAGAACAGCTCTGCGAGAACTTGTGACTGACCCAAGGGCACCCAGCTGGCTGCATGTGGAGGAGTGGAGAATCAAACCTGGCTCTCCCAGATTAGAGCCCGCGCACTTAACCACTACACCAAACTGATGTTCTCTCTGGCTCTACAGATCTGTTGGCATAGTTCATGGTGAATATCCAGATTTCTGGTGGATTTGTACTTCTTCCTCTGAGGAAGTGTGCATGTACACAAAAACTTATACCCAGAATTAAACTTCATTGATTCTAAACGTGCAGCCTCCCTCATTGTGAAGGTGGCCGGGTTCTCCCCCTCCTCCTGTGTGGGGGTTAATGCCCCTCCATATAAGAATTCAGCAGACAAACAGGGTTGGTATAAATAAAGGTGCTGCACTGATGGAGGGTAGATCCATCCTTGGCTATTAGCCGTGCCGGCTAAATGGAACCTCTATGTTCCGAGTAAAAATAAAAAATTCGGCCTGATTCGGATTCGGCCGAATCAGGCAGAATCATTTTCAGCTGGTAGAAAGACTCAATTTTGGCAGTACAAGCTGATTGAGGAGTCTTTCGGCCAGCCGAATGTCAATTTCGGCCCCATTATCTGCTATGGGCCATTGAACTCAATGGCGAAACATAGGGTATATTCTGGGGGCTGGAGGGGAGGGGGTTTGAGGGAGAGGCTCCAACCTCTCCGGGTAGCTGCTGGAGCCCCTCCCCAAGATATCCACCAAGTTTCAAGAACCTTGGACCAGGGGGTCCAATTCTACGGGCCCCCACACAGGTTGCCCCCATCCCCTCCATTGTTCTCTATGGTGGGGAGAAAAGAGAATCTGAATCAGCCCGCAGCAGCCCGAATGGGCCGTTTTCGAGGGTGCATTCGTTTCAGACGAACCGAATGCACATCCCTAGTTCCGAGGCAGTTGTGGGAGAAAATTAGAGGAGGGTGGTTGCCTTTGGGGTGGTCTGCGCTACTTGCAGGCCTTCTGGGAAGGGGGCCTTGCGTGGGCCAGTATGAGAATCGGTTTCACACCCAGTCTAGGGATCGGGGACCGTGCTCCGCTCCGTGCCTGTTCAGCTCCGCACAGGTGCAAGCCCACATCTTTAAAGTCTGTGCCAGACAACAACTCGGGAGAGAGGCTTATCTCTGACAGCACAAAGGGAATATTGGGGAGCCCGGGCGTCAGATGTCTTGCCAGCCGAGCAGACAAAAAGAACATCACTGAGTTGACGATTTCATTTAAAATTACACATCAGGCAAGGACTCGACAAATATTAACAGGTGCTAATGAATCCCGCAGATACGGGGGGCGGGGGGAATACATGAGACAAAATCAGGTCTAATATTTCTCAGGCTTAACAGAATAATATTGGTACTGTGTCTCGAAGATTAAGACGTGTCAGTCTTTGAGCTTGTTGGCAAGAACACGCTGTAGAGTTTGGAAGCCCTAGGGTTGCCAACTCCTGCTCAGGAGATTCCTGGAGATTTGGGGAGAGGGGTGTGAGCTCGGCAGGCATTGATTCCATAGAGTCTGCCTTCCAAAGCCACCGGTCTCAACGGGGAACTAATTTGTTCTCTGAAGTTGCAATTCTGGGAGGTTTCCTAGCGGCACCTGAAGATTGGCAACCCACCCCAGCAGAAACCATGATTATCTCCCTTTCTGATAATTCCTATCGATGAGGTAGCCGTTGAGAACGGAAATAAATCTAACTTCAACCCACGTGATTCGGCCTCTGAACGAGGCAGCTGGTCCCTAAAGGGATTATGAAGACGAACCAGGTGGACCAAGATGCATCTTGATAATACTCATTAAATTCTCCAAGCAAGGTTATAAGGCTAAAATTAGCCCTCGTTTGCCGTTCAAGAGCCACGAATCTGCAGTTCCTCCAGCGTGACACTAATGAACTGTTGAGTCATAGGTGACACGAGAATACAGACCACCAACATTCTTACGTAAGATCATGAATATGTGACAGAGTCCTTCTCAAATACTGGAAGAGAAACTGGGTTGTTTTAAGGCACAGTCAACAGATAGTGGGAAACTGAATGTACAGACGCAGCTAGTCGTGCATTATGGCAGTTAGAGCGCCGGACAAGGATCGAACAGGCCTAGGTTGAGATCCCCACTCGATTGTAGGGCTGGCCAGGGCCAATCACGTGTCAGCCCGCCTACCTTGCAGGGTTGTTGTGAGGATGAAACAGTGACCAGGAAATGACCCCGGCTCATTTCCCCCCCCGATGCTCTTCTTTTTCTCCACAGGACGACGATGTCGACCCCAAGAAGCAGAAAACCGACGAAGACGATTAGGAAGCAGAGTCGGAAAGGAAGCGGCAGTTTTTTTAAAACTTAAAAAAAGAGGAAAATTTTTTAAAAGGCCAGCGTGACCTACTATACCCTGGAAATTTCCCGTTGCAGATACGCTTCGCCCCCCCTCCCCCTCTTGCTGTGGTCACTTGTCACCAAGTAGAGTGTCAAAGCCGTGCGGCAAACCAGCAAGCCGCCAATCTACACCCACCCACCCCACCCCTCTTGGGAAGTGGGGAGGAAAGTAAAATTCTCCCCCCGACACATTGCCACCAGGGTGGGGGAGGAGCAGACACCCCGTCCCCCCTTTTCTCCCCCCCCCAGCACCGAAAACTTCAAGGCCCCTCCTTGCTTTCTTAAAAGTAACTTTAAAAGGAGAATTTGTTTGTATTTTTTATTTACATTTTATATTTTTGTACATATTGTGACGAGGTCAGCCATTTTTAAAACGCGATCTCCAATTGACCAAAAGGGGGGCTTTGAAGTCAAGTGTGTGTTTTCGGTTTGTTTTGCTTCCCCCACCCCCGTTCCTAAAATGGAAAAAAAAGAATTTCTTTTTTTCTCAAACTTTACTTGTGGTGTGACCATGTCCAAAAACGATTATCTCAAAGGAGAACAGGAAAAAAACCTTGTACAAAAAAAAAAATTTGAAAATGCAAAAAAAAAAGTCCAATCTTCATTCTGAGCATTCCAGTAACTCTTTTTTGTGTATGTACTTTTAGCTGTACCATAAGTAGTTGGTTTGTATGAGATGGCCAAAGATAAAAAGGGTTTTTCTTTTTTTTTCCTTTTTGTTCTTTTTTTTTTGTCTATGGAGTTGCTGTTAATTTTTTTTTTTTTTGGCCTGTTTGATGTATGTGTGAAAAACAATGTTGTCCAACAATAAACCGGAATTTTATTTTGCTGAGTTGTTCTAACGAAGCTGGTTGCACAATTGTTGTGTAGTTCTTGTGCTTTTTTTTTTTTGCCCCCTCCCCCCTTATAAACAAGTGAAACCCTTCCATCTTGAGGCGGAGCCCTGTGCTGTTGAATTCAACATCGCTGGCTCTGATTGGCGGAGCCCCTGCTCTACAGAGCTCAGTACCGCCTGCCCCGATTGGCGGAGCCCTGCTCCACTGACCTCAGTGTCACCCATTCTGATTGGCAGCCCATCTTCTGGGTCTCAGATAAACTGAGATGTCTTCCTAGATGTGTGCTAGCTTTTGGGGAGGGCGCCTTTGAATTATTGGGACCAGGGACTGAACGTGGGACTTTGTGCACACAAAAATACATGTTGGCCCATCGAACCACACAGGCCCCCCCCTCTTTTCGGGGAGCCAAACTTGGGAGGGTCTCTTGGGTTGGGTGAACAAGAGGTCACCAACTGAATCTTGTCCAATATTCAGGGTTCTGGAATGGAGGCTGGGGAGTTAAAGGGCGAAGGAGCCGTAGAGGACCCCAGTGGTGTGTGATGTCTTTTTAAATGCTGGTCTTGCCATAGTTAGTGGCGCACGTGGTCAGGTGCTTTGGGTCCGCGCCAGCCCCCCCCCCCGCATCTGTTTGGGGCCCCCCTGTCTTCCTTCTGCCACTTTGCTTTCGGTTGTCCACACGTCCTGAACCCGAGTCCCTATCCTTATCTCCTGGCAAGAATTCCACCCCCATTTCTGCGCAACCCCCCACCCCCACAGAGGGACGGTTCTCTCGCAGCTCTGCCACTACAAGGAATCCATTGTTCCTCTGTAGTGCACCCTATTAACAAGGCTTATTCCCACCAAATAGGGATCGAAATTGCTTTTACTTGGTTTTCTTTTCTTTTTTTAATTAAACAGTTTTAAAAATTTATTTTTCTCCGTGTTATCTGTGTGGGAATTTGGACTGCTTTATATAAACCTTTCGGGCCTTCCGCTCCGTATTCCGAATCATGCTGGTAACTGGGATACGAGTTGAGAGATTGCCTTTTGGGGGCACCTACGAAGTCTGCAAAATGAGAACGTGAGAAAGGGGCGCTCCCGGGAAACGCCGGACACACACCCTGAATGGGAGGGGAGACCCCATCTGCCTAAATTAAAAGCATTTGGATAGTAAAGTAAAGGTAAAGGCTTCCCTTTGCTCGAAAGCCAGTCGAATCCGACTGGGGGTCGGTGCTCATCTCTGTTTCCAAGCCGAAGAGCCAGCGCTGTCCGAAGACTTCTCCGTGGTCATGTAGCCGGCATGACTAAATGCCGAGGCACACAGAACCCTGTTACCTTCCCACCAAAGCGGTACCTATTGATCTACTTGTTGCAATTTCTTGCTTTCGAACTGCTAGATTGGCAGGTTCTGGGGCCAGCAACGGGAGCTCACTCCGTCATGCGGCACAGTCGGGTCTCAAACCGCTGAGCTACAGACCTTCCAGTCTGTGAGGCAGGATGCTGGACTAGATGGACTCTTGGTCTTATCCAGCAGGGCTCTTCTGTGCTTAAACATGACGCTGGGGAGGCCATTGCAGCGCCCCGCATGATTTTGCATGATGTCTATTTTTACCACATCAGTGTCACCTTTCATTCAGAAACGGGATGGGCCAGGGCTGAGTGGTAGAGCCTTTGCTTGGGCTGCAGAAGGTCCCCAGTTCAATCCCCGGCATCTCCAGTTGAAAAGAACCAGGCAGGAGGTGATGGGAAAGACCTCCGCCTGAGACCCTGGAGAGCTGTAAAGGGGCACTGGCTCAGTGGAAGAGCCTCTGCCTGGCATGCAGAACATCCCAGGTTCAATCCCCGGCATCTCCAGTTAAACAGGACCAGGCAGGAGGTGATGTGAAAGTCCTTTCTCCGCTTGAGACCCTGGAGAGCCGCTGCCCGTCTGAGTAGACAACGTTGACCTTGATGGACCGAGGGTCTGATTCAGTATGAGACAGCTTCATGTGCTTCTCTTAGGACAATCCTGTTCAGGACTGCAACAGCAGTAAACTGGACAAAGGTAAAAGTTTCCCTTGCTCAAAAGCCGGTCGAATCCAACTCTAAGGGGATGCTCATCACTGCTTCCAAGCCGAAGAGCCAGCGCTGTCCGAAGACGTTTCCATGGTCATGTGGCCGGCACGACAACACCGAGGCGCACGGAACGCTGTCGCCTTCCCTATTTTATCTGCTTGCATTTTCTTGCTTTCGAACCGCTAGGTTGGCAGGAGCTGGGGCCAGAGACGGGAACTGGCCCATCACGCGGCACTCAGGTCCCGAACTATAGACCTTCCGGTCTGCCTCCCTAGGAGCTTGAGCTACGCTCTCTTCCGCTGAATGGGCATGTCCTCCTACACGATGAAGGGCTTTACTGAAAATTCAGCGCATGCATTTCCACGTTCCAAGGGAAGAGTTCCCGCCCTGATCCCGCGAAGCCAAGATGGGGAGCAGCTTTTCGGCGTCTCTCCAGTGACCCTTGTGAGAACAGTAGCTGGGTCACGGGCATGAGCTGGCTGGCCTGGTCTCGTGGGCGGCCATTGCCTGCCTCTGCGGCCCTGGGTGGTCCTTGGCTGGGAGACTGTCAAGGAGGTCCCGGGGTTGCTATGCTCTTGGCTTGAAAACCCTCTGGGGGGGTCACCATAAGCCGGCTGCAACTTGAGACAACTTTCACTTGGTGTAAGTAGCTCATCAGATCTCGGAAACTAAGCAGGGTTAGCCCTGGTGAGAACCTGAATGTGAGTAGTTCCGCTCTGTTCTGCTATGGTCAGGCCTCACCTGGAGTCCTGTGTCCAGTTTTGGGCACCACATTTCAGGAAGGATGCTGAGAAGCTCGAGCGTGTCCGGAAGAGGGGAACCAGGATGGTGAGAGGGTTGGAGTCCAAGTCTTACGAGGAAAGGCTGAAAGAGTTGGGTCTGTTTAGCCTGGGAAAGAGAAGGCTTAGAGGGGACATGACTGCAGTCTTCAAGTATTTGAAGGGCTGTCATGTAGAAGATGGAGCAGGTCTATTCTCTCTTGCTCCAGATTGCGAGACTAGATCTAATGGGTGGGAATGACAAGGGAGTCGTTACCGGCTAAATATCAGGAGAAACTTCCTAACTGTTAGAGTGGTTGAGCAGTGGGACGGACTGCCTCGGGAGGTGGTGGATGCTCCTTCGCTGGACGTTTCCGAGCGGAGGCTGGACGACCCTCTTTCGGGTATGTTGCAGGGCTCTCTTTCGGCTGTGCTCCTGCAGAGTGCAGGGGGTTGGACTAGATGACCTGCAAGGTCCCTTCCAACTCGAACATTCCATGATTCTAAGGAAGTCCAGGGTTGCTGTGCAGTCAGGCAACGGCAGACCGCCTCCGAATGTCTCTTGCCTCGAGAACCTTACATATCCCAGATGCTAAGCAGGGTCGGCTCTGATCAGTACTCGAAAGGGAGACCTCCGCCCAAGGAAGCCCAAGGTTACTACACAGAGGCAGGCGATGGCAAACCGCCTCTGAATGCCTCTTGCTTTGCAAGCCCTACAGGGCTGCCATAAACCGGCTGTGACTTGACTGCCCGTTTCACCACCACGGGCATGCGGACCTTGTATGCCCGCTCTTGTGCACCTGCCCACCAATGTTCCCTCTAAGCTGTGGAGTCTTGTGAGCAAACATTCTATTTTGTGAGCGACTGGCATTAAAGTTGTGAGTGAACAATTTGGCTACTTCATACATTAGTTTGCTCTGGAGCCATCCTTCCGGAGCTAAGACAAAAATGTGTGAGCCGGAGGCTAAAAAACAGTGAGCTAGCTCACACCAACTCAGCTTAGAGGGAACATTGCTGCCCGCCCAGCCTCACTGGAGTGGGCAGGAGGCTTCTGCCATCTGAGCCACTGGGGGGAAAGAAGAAGAAGAGATTGGATTTATACCCCGCCCTTCAATACCCGAAGGAGTCTCAGAGCAGCTTACAATCTCCTTTCCCTTCCCCTCCCCACGACAGACACCCTGTGAGGCAGGCGGGGCTGAGAGAGCTCTTTCGAGAACTGCCCTTGAGAAAAACAGCTCCGACCGAACTTGTGACTGACCCAAGGTCACACCAGCAGGTGCAGGTGGAGGAGCGGGGAATCAAAACCCGGTTCTCCCAGCTTAGAGTCCGTGTTCATAGCCACGACACCAAACTGGCTCTCAAAACACAGCGCCCTGCTTTGAAAGGAAGCGCTGCTGAGCCTTTCGAGGAATCCATCGGCAGCCGCCGCGCGGTTGCTCCCAGCCCACTGGCCTTCCCGTGGCCTTGCTCGCAGCTGCCTCATGCATCTTTCATGGGTGATGCTGGGTTACTGGGCCAGAAGGCGCCGGGGGAGACAGAGCAGCTGGCGGTGTGTGTGGAAAGGCTCATGCTCTGGCAGAGGCCTTCATCCTGCTTTTCCTTGTGCATGGAATGGTCCACCTTGGTGGGCCTCGCCTGGTCCGACGGGCAGGAGTTCCACATGGCCACAAGAAGGTGGGGGTCCGGCCCAGCCCTGTGGGTGGAGCTGTCGGCTGTCAAACTAAGGGGGCCAACCTCCAGTTGGGGCCTGGCGCTCTCCCAGAATCACGACTTGAACTCCAGGCTAAAGAGAACACCTTCCCTGAGGAAAAAATGGCCGCTTCGGAGGATGGACTCTGTGGCATTACATCCCTGCCAGTTTGGTGCAGTGGTGAAGTGCGCGGACTCTAATCGGGGAGAGCCGGGTTTGGTTCCCCACTCCTCCACTCGTAGCTGCTGGATGAGCTTGGGCAAGCCAGAGTTCTCTCAGAGCTGTTCTCTCAAGGGCAGTTCTGGAAAGAGCTCCCTCAGCCCCGCCGACCTCACAGGGTGTCTGTGGTGGGGAGGGGAGGGGAAAGGAAAGGAGATTGTAAGCCGCTCTGAGTGAAGGGCGGGGTATAAATCCAATCTTCTGCTGCGGAGCCTTCTCACTAGGCTTTGCCCCGAAATCGCCAGGAATTCTCCAACCCGGAGGTGGCAACCCTGGGGCAAACTTCAGCATCTAGAGGTCTCGCACAGGGACACGCACGAAGCTGCCTTCTGCTGAATGGGACCCTCGGTCCATTCAGAAGAAGAAGAGGAGATTGCATTTGTACCCCGCCCTTCACTCGGAATCTCAGAGCGGCTCACAATCTCCTTTCCCTTCCCCTCTCTACAACAGTGTGGCTGAGAGGGCTCTGACAGAAACTGCTCTTGAGAGAACAGCTCTGAGAGACTTGTAGGTTGCCCAAGGTCATCCAGCAGCTGCAAGTGGAGGAGTGCGGAATGAAACCCGGTTCTCCCAGATTAGAGTCCGCGCGCTTAACCACGACACC